CTCCTCCTCCTCCTCCTCCTCCTCCTCCTCCAACTTTCTCCTCTCTCCTCTCCGCTCTTCCCGAACTTTCCAGCCGAAACTCCGCGCTCCTTCCTCCGTCTCCGAGCTCCGCGCTTTTCTCCTCCGCTGCGCTCTCCCCTTCCAACCACGCGCGCAAGAAGCGCCCCTCGCCGGGGACCCCTCCGTGAGCCCCCAGGTAGGGCTGGAAACCCGCGGGGGACCCCCAGGGAGCCCCAAAAAAAGCGGATTTGGGTTGGAAACTGCACGAGGGGAATTCCAGATGTTCGGCAGCTGCGCGGCCGGCGGGCGGGAATTGCGCGGGGGCGAATTTAGACGCGGAGGATTCTTGGCTCTCGTGGTTGATGATGGAGTCGACGAAATAATTGGTGAGGGTGCCCGAGATGGACATGGTCAGGCATTATACATGGGGGGAAATTTGGGGAAATTTAAATTTTTTTTTAGGGGGAAATTGAATTTTTTGGGGTTTTTTTGGTGGTTGGGGTGAAGGGGGAAAGAGGGAAAAAAAAATGGGGAAAAGCGTTCAAAGGGGAATGGTGGGGAGGTCTCGGGTTTAATCCGGCGAAAAGGTCACGGAAAATTGAAAAAAATTATAAATAAAAATATTAGAAGGGAGTTCTCGGGTTTAATCCGGCGAAAAGGTCACGGAAAATTGAAAAAATTTAAAAATAAAAATATTAGAAGGGAGTTCTCGGCTTTAATCCGGCGAAAAGGGTCACGGAAAATTGAAAAAAATTATAAATAAAAATTTAGAAGGGAGTTCTCGGGTTTAATCCGGCGAAAAGGTCACGAAAAATTTAAAAAAAAAATAGAAATTAAAAAATCAGAAGGGAGTTCTCGGGTTTAATCCGGCGAAAGGGTAATTAAAAAAATTTAAAAATAAAAAAATTAGAAGGAAGTTCTCGGGTTTAATCCGGCGAAAGTGTCATGAAAAATTTAAAGAAATTTTTAAAAATTTAGAGGGAAGTTCTTGGGTTTAATCCGGCGAAAGCGTCAAGAAAAAATTTTTAAAAATAAAAAAATTAGAAGGAAGTTTTCGGGTTTAATCCGGCAAAATGAAAAATTAAAAAAATTAAAAATAAAAAAATTAGAAGGAAATTCCCGGGTTTAATCCGGCAAAAGTGTCATGAAAAATTAAAAAAAAA